TCTTCTGACAGTTCTACTGAGGAACATTTGTAGCCTAAGTCCACCAGCCACTGGATGGGATGCACTTCCACCTGCCACAGATATGAGCACAGAGGCCGACATTGCCCGAGTTAAATACTTTAGAAATACGGTTTATGGCCATGCTAAGAAGGCTTCTGTGGATGATGCTACATTCAATGTGTATTGGCAAGACATCAAAGATGCTTTAGTGAGACTTGGAGGACCTGTATATGGAGTGGCAATTGATGATCTTAAAAATGAGTGCATGGACCCTGTATTTGAAGAATACTACAGAGAACTTCTAAAGGAATGGAAAAGAGATGATGATAACACCAAAGACAAACTGGATGAGATTCACTGGATGCTTAAAGAACAAATGAAAGCTCCAACAAGCAAGACACAACCAAAAGGTAAATTTGCTAGCAGCAAGGTGATGTGATAACAGGGAAGGGAAAACAAAATATATGATGGAGGAATGATGAGAAGAAATCAAATGAAACCATAAACAAACTTAGGAAGAAATTAGAAGAATGACCAAACCTATTTCTAATCCTTTTTTCTTTTTTACTTTCCAGTCTTTCCTTATCCTTCCTTTTTCTTTGTTCTGTATTTCCTTTTGAGCACTTTCTTTTCCTCCTCTCCCTCGTTATCTTCTCTTTCCCTTTTTCGTTAAGTGTATATTAAAGAGCAGAAAGGCAAATCAATCATTTACAAGCTTTGTTTTTTTTGAGAAAAATATACTGAACACCTTCAAAGGAGCCTGACTGCATTGAAACATTCTTATTTAGTCTTTTATTCCATCTAAGAGAGATGCAAATACGGTAGATAAGTTTTGGTTTTCATTGATGGAAAAATAATCATGTCCTGAAATAAAAATTAATCCCTCATTTACCTCATAGCAATAATACTTTAATTTCAGATGTTGAGGAACCAACTGAACTTATACAAAGAATTCGCCAACTTTATTTGACACGTGAAGGGCAACTTTCACCATTTCCTTGGTGTGACCTTGAGCTGAATGATATATTTACCATGCCAACCATTGTCAGGCGAGACAAAAGCAGACAAACAGCAGTAGAACAGGTAACCAGCATAACCGGAGTCTTTAAACCACACAGTGGATGCTCCAAACCTAGAACTGTTCTGATTGAGGGAGAACCTGGAATGGGTAAGACTACCTATTGTCAAAAGGTAGTGTATGACTGGGCCAATGGTCAAGAAACAGATGCTTCTTTCCTAAAAATTAAACTGGTCCTCCTGCTCAAATGCCATGACATGTCAGGCAACATCTGGGAAGCCATTGATGATCAGCTGCTTCCTAAAGATATTGAAGAGGAAGAAAGAGAGAACTTCTTCAAGTACATTCGTGCCAATCAGTCTCAAGTTCTCTTGGTACTTGACGGATTAGATGAAGCACCTTCCAATCTTATGAAGATATTTTCTGACCTTGTTGAGAGCAGAGAGCTATCAAAGTCTCACATCATTCTTACATCAAGGGAAGAGGGTAGTGTTAAGATAAGAAAGTATTGTGACACCTTACTTCAAATACAAGGATTTGCGTCAGAGAATTCTCACAATTACATCAAGCACTACTTCAAAGACTTGGAGGCACAGGGACAAAAACTTTTGAAGGACATTGAACAAAATATTGAACTCGGAGAACTGATTGTCAATCCTTTATTCACAGCAATGCTCTGCCTTTTTATGAAGATTTAGAAGGTGGTCTGCCTTCAAGCAAGACTCACTTGTATGTTGAAATCACAGAATGCATTCTTAAGCGATTTTGCCAAAAGCAAGGGTTGTCTCACAATAATGTCAACCTAACTGAGGTTTACAAGGAAGAGCTGGAACAATTGGGAAGAATAGCCTGGGAGACCTTGAAGAGAGATAAGATACATATTGACGAAGGTGTATTTACAGCTACAACTACAAGAAAATCACCTCTATTTGAATTTTTATCAGTTCAGTCTAACAGCAGCAAAAGAAGATCCCATACATGCTATCAATTTTCACACAAGAGTTTTCTAGAATTCTTTGCTGGTGTTCATCTCTCTGACCAAATTTTGAAAGGGGAAACAGACTTTGAGACACTGCTTGCAAATGAAAGAAGAAACTTAAAGTCTCTTGAACCAGTCCTTTTGTTCACAGTTGGTATTCTCGGCCTTAAAAGTGAAAATGATGCTTTGTCTATTTTAAAAATCATTGTCAAGAAAACCAATCTTTTCAAAGACTGGGATATTCCAAATTTTTATTTGTATTTCGCTTTAAAATGCATTGGTGAATGTTCCACAGAAAATTCAAGACTTCAATCCCAGATGATAAATTTGTTGGGAACAAACCTAGAGCTTCTATCCTTAATCATACGTGATGTCAGTTTTCCCATTAAGTTGCTTGTTGAGGCCCTTCAAGTTAACCAAACACTAACTTATTTAGCCATCCCTCTTCCACTTTTTGGAGAGCAGTATATTGTGTCATTGGCCAATATGCTCCAAGTTAATAAAACTTTGGCTGGAGTAACAGTTATATCATATGGCTTTGTCAATGCACAAGGAGTGCAGCAACTTGCTGATTCTCTAATAGATAACAAAACAATATATGACTTAATGTTTTGCGGAAACGCATGGGGTGATGACTCAGCCAGGATCTTGGCAAGTTATTTGAAAAAGAGTGAAAGCTTGAGTTCCTTCAGTCTAAATTTTGGTGTCATAGGTGATGCAGGAGCCACAGCACTTGCAGAAGTTTTAAGGGCCAACAACACTTTAAACTGCTTGAACCTAAATAGAAACCCAGGCATTGGTAATCCCAGTGTTATGTCACTGTGTGAGGCTCTGAAAGTCAACACAACTCTTAATTCCTTAAATTTGTCTGAAACTGGTATCAGTGATGCTGGTGTTCTTTCTCTTGTGGAAGTTCTCAAAACCAATACCAGCAGCCTAACCTCATTGTTACTGTCAGATATCGAAATAAGTCGTCAAAGTATAAAGTCTATTGCAGAAGTCTTGAGAGTCAACTCTACTTTGAAAAAGCTTAAATTCAAAGGAAATAAGGTTGGTGTTGGTGGAGCAAAGTTGATAGCTGAGAGCCTTAAAGCCAATACAACCCTGAAACTTCTCAGTCTCTCAAGGAACAGCCTCAAAGCGCCTTGTGGCCATTTATTTTCTGATGCCCTCAAAGTTAATGGGACACTGGAATCTCTGACTTTGGCAGAGAATGACCTTGGTGCTCGTGATGCCCAACTTCTATCAGAAGGGCTGAGAGTGAATACCTCACTTACACATCTGGACCTGTCTGGGAATTCCATTGGTGATAAAGGTGCAGAGTCAATGGCAGGGACCATCAGAGTTCATGCTTCATTGACTAGCATAAAGCTATCACAGAATAGTATTGGTGATATTGGAGCCAACAAAGTCTCTGAAGCTCTTAAAGATAATGTCTCTTTGGAGGACCTGGATTTGTCAATTAATGCCATTGGTGCTGCTGGAGCTGAGTCTATTGCTGAGGCCCTTAAAATTAATGCAACTCTGAATGCTTTGGACCTTGATTATAATGCCATTGGCGATAATGGAGCCAAATCACTTTGTGAGGCTCTTAAGACAAATGCCACCTTGACCAGCCTAGGTGTTTCTCACAACAATATTCATTCAGCTGGTGCTCAGGCATTTTATGAGCTCCAAGGACATAATAACACCTTAAAGAGTGTACATATGTTCATGAACGATATTGATGATTTGAGTGATCATGGGGATCAAGAATTCAATGAAATCCCCATGACAAGCGTGCCTTCTTTACCCATTTTACATGATGTGTCACTGCGCTTTACTGATCAAAGAAGCTTTGATGTACTTGTTTCTAAAGAATTTTTGATGCTACCTCAACAGTGAAGCATTTTGTAGTCAAGTTTTAAAAAGCTAATTTCATTTCTGTGCTGGAGTTGTTGAGGCTGACATCTAGGAAAAACTATGTTTACTCATAGACAGTGAAGTTAGATCTCTTTCCTCTAACAAGAAGCTATTGATGACTGGTTTGAGCCTGAGTACAGCTTGGATCTCTCTCCAGTTGGCTGGTGTGAAAAGAGAAAATAATCCTCCTCAAACCTCTAATTTTCCAGGGAGTGAACCAAAAAATTCCTCTTTCCTAGACTTGCAGAAAGCTCCCATGTTTTTCTTGCCTGAAGGAGATCTAAATTCATTGACAAGGAGCATGTTCCTTTTCCTTATTCTGCTATTGCAGCCTGAGGATTAAGTAATGCGTAAGCTTAACCATACACAAAAGAAAATGTTGTGTTAAGATTCTTTTTTTTATGTTTACCTAGTAATATTCTATACCAAAATGGCCAAATGTGTTTAAAAGACAAGATTAAGGAAAGCAAACGTTGTTACTAACAACGAAAAATCACTCAATAGTTTAGGAGAATAGAGCTAAGTCTCCCTCACAACTGACATCAGTTATCGCACACTTAGGTACTCAACCTCATAAATAAGCCTCTGTAAAGATGCAAATATGTTTATGTTGTGTGATAATCCTGTAAGAAGTAGGTTTATTTTAAGTATATAATATATAGATTTAGCCAAGCCTAAAAGCGGAGCTCGTTTTTTATTTTCCCCGCACGTCTCAAGGAAGGAAGCAGTTGGAAGCAGTAATCAGCAAGATCTTTTCACTTGGTTTGTAGCTAAATTTAATCTTATTGGCATAAACTAAAACCCAGTGATAAAGTAATAAACGGGTACATTGATTTTTCGTTTCGGTTACTGTTTAGTCTCTCAAGTTAATCTGATTTGATTTGATAGTCTTGATAAACAGGGAAAAGATCCAGTATATGGGGGAGGAGGCTAAACCTGTCTTCCTTTTTTTTCTTTATTTTTTGACATCTTTCCGACAGAGATGATTAGCGCGTGAATGTCAAAAGCGGCCGGTTTTTTTTTTTTAGGTCCTATCGCCACAAATAGATATATATATATTCAGGTTTTATAATTCAACTTTTTTCTGCCTCGTCATTTGACCTAAGCTTACTTAAACTTTTCTTTGAGTTATTGTTATTTTAAATCTGCTGTGCTGGTTCAGTACTACAGAACTTGATAAATTGATCATTGAATAAAAGGGGTAAGTTTCTAAACAAAGTATAGTGGCCTATTGAAGAGGCCCCCTAAAATTGAAGCAATTCCACGAAATAAGAGTAAATCAACCAAAGATTAAATTCCCTGTAAAAGTGTACAATTAGGCGAACTTTGCACAATCGTGTGATGCGTGACCATCTGTTACTATGACCATCAAAAAACTTCGCGTGACCGCTGAGGTAAATCGCGACCAGAAGAGCCTATTTCCGCCTCGGCACCAGACGATGACGTCATGAGAACGTCCCAATTTATTTCCAGGGTGAAGCCAAATTGAGTGTAGGTTCTCTTTCAGATTTAATGTTGTGATACTCTGAGTAGTTCCTTCTATTTGCGATAAAGCAGGTTTGTATATCTTAACTTTCTTAGGATCGGTTTTCTAGTCTACCAGAGTTAAATGAAAAACAGTTTATAGCTACCGTTCCTCAAAATTTCAAGTAGTCTTTCGGGCGCGCATTTGATTGCGAACCTACTTTTTGTTGAGAAAGAAGTAATCAAGCTTTGGTTGAAAATTGTCGGTGTGAAGTAACTTAGAAAACAAAATAACATAACGTAAGTTTAAAAATCTTTGGTTGATTTGTAATGAATGTATTTCTAATGGTGTGTAATGAATGTGTGAAAACTTTCGAATATTATCATCCCGGTTTGATATCTGCAGTATCTGTAATAGTTTTTGTGCAGATAACACCTTCTCAGCCCTCTCCACTACTCTTAGTCGCCTTCTGATACTGTGCGATTACTTTAAAAAAATGAGAACTGCAATCTGTCGAGTAAAAACCAAATCTTAGCTCCTAAAGCTTATGGTTTACTCTCCAAACAAGCCTAGCTTTACCAAAAACTCTCTTAGGTTCTCTCGTTCGAATTGGCAACCTTACCCGTTCTCAATGGTAACTTATGACGAATACGATTTTTAACTGATACACGCTTAAGGAAAACTAAAATTGTTCTTCAAAGTTAAAGATCTTTGAAAGGATTCACAACATATTCAATACATTATTCTCCAAACCATCTTTTTAGAAAAAACACATGCATTTTTCATGACTGTGTAACATACAACTTATTAAGGAGGGAGTGTTATAAATAATAATAGAGTGAGATGTATTGGTTCGATCATAAATAGATAAGCCAAAACCTATTTAATACATGGCTTTACTCATTTGTTTATGACAGGAAGACAATGGCCACAGCTACTACTCCAGTGTAATTTTCCTCTACTAAAGAAAACACCAATTATGCAAGACTCTGTTGCCTCCTGGTTGATGTGGGATCTTATGTGCTACGAGACAAGTTTGACAGCATTCTTCCTCCAAAAAATCTTTACAGAGACTTGATAACACATCATGCCACACTACAGCTACTGCAAAAGAGGAGGGTTATAAATCCAACACAATGGGGAAACCTTTACCCTCCAATACGCACCTCAGTATCATCAAAAAACTTGACATAACTCTTCTGACAGTCCTACTAAGGAACATTTATTGCCTAGCTCCACCAGCCGCTGGATGGGATGCACCTCCACTTGCCACAGATATGAGCACTGAGGCTGACATTGCTCGTGTGAAATACTTTAGAAATACAGTGTATGGCTATGCTGAGAAGGCTTCTATGGAGGATGCTACATTCAATGTGTATTGGCAAGACATGCATCAAAGCTGATTTTGTGAGACTTGGAGGACCTGCATATGGAGTGGCAATTGATGATCTTAAAAATGAGTGCATGGACCCTGTATTTGAGGAACACTACAGAGAACTTCTAAAGGAATGGAAAAAAGATGATGATAACACTAAAGACAAACTAAATGAGATTCATTGGATGCTTAAAGAACAAATGAAAACTTCAACGAGCACACCATTACCAAAAGGTAGATTTTAAATCTACTAATTAAGAGTGGTGTGGAGGGAAGGAGAGGGAGAAAAAAAATTAGAATGGAGAAAAGGGGAGAAGAAAACAGAGGTGGACCTAATTAGGAGAAAAATAACTAAGAAAAAATCTCCCAATCTTGTTATTCAATTATATTTTCCATTTCACTCTCTATTTCTCCTCTTTATTTCACTCTTTTATTCCTTTTTTTGTTTCCTTTCAGTTTTTTCCTTTTTCTTCTTTCCCTTGATTTGTTTCTATTCTTTTTACCATTCTTCCCATTTGAAGTATAGAAGGGAGGAAATTGAGCAAATCAAATATTGCAATTTTTTATTTTATTTATTCAGTACCATTATAATATGAAAGCAAAATTAATCCTTTATGTACCTAATTTACCTTAATTTAATTTCAGATCTTGAGGAGCCAACTGAACTTATAGAGAGGATTTGCCAACTTTATCAGACACGTGAAAGACCATTTCCTTGGTGTGAGGACTTCAACTTTGACATTAACGACATATTTACCAGGCCAACCATTGTCAGGCGAGACAAAACTAGGCGAACAGCAGCAGAACAGGTAACCAGCATAACTGGAGTCTTTAAACCTCACAGTGGATGCTCCAAGCCCAGAACTGTCCTGATTGAGGGAGAACCTGGAGTAGGCAAAACAACCTATTGTCAAAAGGTAGTGTACGACTGGGCCAATGGTAAAGAAACAGATGCTTCTTTCCCAAAAATTAAATTGGTTCTCCTGCTCAAATGTCATGACATGTCAGGCAACATCTGGGAAGCCATAGATGATCAGTTGCTTCCTCAAGATATTGAAGAAGAAGAAAGAGAGAACTTCTTCAAGTACATTCGTGCCAATCAGTCCCAGGTGCTGCTGGTTTTTGATGGATTGGATGAAGCACCTACCAGTATTATGGAGCTGTTCTGCAGCCTTGTCGAGAGCAGAGAACTCTCGAAGTGTCACATAATTCTTACATCCAGGCAAGAGGGTAGTGTTAAGATAAGCAAGTTTTGTGACACCTTACTTCAAATAGAAGGATTTGTTTCAGAGAATTCTCACAATTACATCATGCATTACTTCAAAGACTTGGAGGCACAGGGACAAAACCTTTTGAAGGACATAGAAGAAAATATTGAACTTGAAGAACTGATTGTCAATCCCTTATTCACAGCAATGCTGTGTCTTGTTTATGAAGATTTAGAAGGTGGTCTGCCTCTAAGCAAGACTCAGTTGTATCTTGAAATCACAGAATGCATTCTTAAGAGATTTTGCAAGGGTTTGCAAAGCAAGGGTTGTCTCACAATAATGACCACCTAACTGAGGTTTTCAAGGAAGAACTGGAACAATTGGGGAGTATAGCCTTGAAGGCCTTGAAGAAAGATAAAATGCACATTGAAGATGGTGAATTTCCAGGCACAACAAAAAAATCACCTCTATTTGAATTTTTATCAGTTCAGTCTAACAGCAGCAAAAGAAGATCCCACACATGCTATCAATTTTCACACAAGAGTTTTCAAGAATTCTTTGCAGGTCTTTATCTCTCTGACCAAATTTTGAAAGGGGAAACAGACTTTGAGAGACTGCTTGCAAATGAAAGAGGAAACTTAGTCTCTTGAATCAGTCCTTTTGTTCACAGTTGGTATTCCAGGCCTTAAAAGTGAAAATGATGCCTTTTCTCTTTTAAGAATCATTATCAAGAAAACCAATCTTTTCAAATACTTGAGTTTTCCAAATTTTTACCTGTATTTTGCCATAAAATGCATTAGTGAATGCTCCACAGAAAATTCAGGACTTCGATACCAGATGATAAATTTATTGGGAACAAAGCTAGAGCTTAAAATGTTGATGATAACTGACTACAATTTCCCCATTAAGTTGTTTGTTGAGGCACTTCAAGTTAACTGCACACTTACTCTTTTGTCGATCACCATTCCATTATCTGGACACCAGTATGTCAAGTCATTGGCTGATATGCTACGCGTTAATAAAACTTTGACTAGAGTTCTCATCACAAACAATTTCATCAGTGAATATGGTGTACAGCAATTGATAGATGCTCTACAGGTTAACACAACGCTGCTTGAGTTAACCTTTTGTGGAAACACATGGGACAACAATGGAGCCAGGGTCTTAGCTAGCTACTTGAAGAGGAATAAAACATTGAGTGCCTTACATCTAATCTACAGTGACATTGGCAATGCAGGAGCCACAGCACTTGCAGAGGTTTTATGGACCAACACCACTTTAGACAGTTTGGACCTTCGGATAAACCCAAGCATTGGTGATTCCAGTGTAATGTCACTGTGTGAGGCTCTTAAAGTAAACAAAACCCTTAGTTCATTAAATTTGTCTGGAACTGGTATCAGTGATGCTGGTGTTCTTTCTCTTGTGGAAGTTCTCAAAACTAATACCAGCAGCCTAAGCTCTTTGTCACTGTCAGATATCAGAATAAGTCATCACAGTGTAAAGCCTATTGCAGAAGTCTTGAGGGTCAACTCTACTTTGAAAGAGCTTGAATTTGAAGGAAATAAGGTTGGTGTTGGTGGAGCAAAGTTGATAGCTGAAAGTCTTAAAGCCAATTCAACCCTGGAAATTCTCAGTCTCTCAAGGAACAACGTTAAAGCACCATGTGGCCGTTTACTTTCTGATGCCCTCAAAGTAAATGGGACACTGAAATCTCTGAGTTTGGCTAAGAATGCCCTTGGTGCTCGTGGTGTCCAACTTCTATCAGAAGGGCTCCGAGTGAATACCTCTCTTTCACATCTGGACCTGTCTGGGAATTCCATTGGTGATGAAGGTGCAGAGTTGATAGCAGAGACCATCAAAGTTCATGCTTCATTGACCAGCTTAAAGCTCTCACAGAACAGTATTGGTGATCCTGGAGCCAACAAAGTTTCTGAAGCTCTTAAAGTCAATGTCCCTCTGGAGGACCTGGATCTGTCATTAAATGCCATTGGTGCTGCTGGAGCTGAGTCTATTGCTGAGGCCCTTAAAAGGAATGCTGCTCTAACTACTTTAGACCTTGGTTTTAATGTCATTGGTGATAATGGAGCCCAATCACTTTGTGAGGCTCTTAAGACAAATGCCACCTTGATCACCCTGAATGTTTATAACAACAATATCCATTCAGCTGGTGCTCAGGCATTTGATGAGCTGCAAGGACATAATAACACATTAAAGAGTGTAAATTTGATCATGAACAATATTAGAAATCAAGAACCTGATGAAATCCCCTTGACAAACTTTCTTCCTTTCCCTTTTTCACAAGATTTGTCACTGCGATTTACCGATCAGGGAAGTTTTGATGTACTTGTGTCTAAAGAAACTTTGATGCTACCTTTACAATAAAGCATTTTGTAGGTTATCAAATGGAAGTCAAGTTGTAAAAAGCTAATTTCATCTTTGAGCTTAAGTTGTTAAGACTGACATCCATGCAAAAATATGTTTCCTGGTTGACAGGGAGTTTAGATCTCTTTCCTTTAACAATAAGCTATTGATGACTGGTTTGAGGCTGAGTGCAGCTTGGATCTCTCTCCAATTGGCTGGTGTGAAAAGAGAAGGGCCCTCTGACACCTTCCTCAAACCTCTAATTTTTCAGGAAGTGAACCAAACAAGTTTCTTTCTTAGAGTTTTTGGAAAGTTCCCATGCATGTTTTTCTTGCCTGGAAGAGATCTGAATTCACTGATAAGGAACATGTTCCTTTTTCCTCATTCTGCTATTGCAGCCTGAGGATTAAGCAATACATAAGTTGAACCATATACAAAAGAAAATGGTGTGTTAGGATGTTTAAACATAATTGTTTACCTGGTGATGTGCCATAATGAAGTGACTAAATTTGTTTGAAAGACATGATTAAAAGAAAGCAAAGTTTGTTACTACCAATATAAAATCACCATACAGTTTAGGAGATTTAAGAGCTAAGTCTCCCTCACAGCTCACATCAGTTATCACACAGGTAGCCCATTACCTCACAAAATGAGCCTCTGTAAAGATGTAAATATGTTTATGTTGTGTGATAATTCCATTAGATGTAGGTTTGTTTTAATTATATAAATTATCATAAGTTCAGATTTTTAGTTTGAGGGTGTAACTGTTTATTCACTTATAAAATCCTTACATAATGCCCACTGAACAACATAAACATATTTTCATAGTCGCAGACACTCATGTTTTGTATTTGTGGTCATCAGAACAGAATCCTGCTCAGGCTTTAAGGTATCAATCAGTAAGAAACTCAAAAAAATAACTCTACTTCCATTTCATATTAATTGTAAGTTAATTTGGACTTTCCAAACATTCAAAAATTTGTAAAGGGGTAAGTTTCTAAAGAAACTGTGGTGCTGCGTCGGTGGGAGAGTATAGCAGGTAATTTAGTGTTAACAACTGGGTTGAAAACGTAAATTAGCCACCGTAAAGGGTAAAAAAGCTGACGTTTCGAGCGTTAGCCCTTCGTCTAATCGCTCTGACGAAGGGCTAACGCTCGAAACGTCAGCTTTTTTACCCTTTACGGTGGCTAATTTACGTTTTCAACCCAGTTGCATGTTAACACTAAATTACATTCAAAAATTTACCCTGCCCACATGTATCCTCACATAGTCACTGAGCATGGCAGTGGTTTTTCTACCTCTGAGATGAACCTGTGAGTGATCAAGCTGGCACATATTCCTGGTCAGCTCAGCTGCTGCTCATCCCAAAAAATTGTTGAGCTGGGAACCTGCTCTCAGACTAAATAATATTCACATGAAAGAGGGATGTTAATAATTAGACAGTTTATGCATTTTGGACCAAATGAAATATCTATATCAAACCATCAGTAGACACATTAATATATTGACCTTTGCTCACATTGATTTTTGTATTTTTCTCAAAATTAACATTAATAAAATTAATTTTTTTTGGTGACTGAGGATTTCAGTATCTCTATCAACTTGCATGTGGTGCCTGTAAAAGCTAAATTTTTATTTGCTGATTATTTCTAGTTTGAGAAGGGCTGTTCCAAGGATGAATTAAAGAAAGTCTTTAAAGTATCTCCTCATGTAGAAGGTTCTACAACACCTCATAGTAACCCTACAGCCATTTTATATTACACTGACATCTTTTTAGTTTTAATGTATAAGCTTTTTTTCTTCCTTCAATGGAGTGGCTTATTATAAGAACTTCTGTATTCTTAAGTTGAAATAATCTCCAATTCTACATACATACTTCTATTTGTTACAGAAGGTAAAAAAATTTACAAATTGAAGCTACTGTGGGCCTACCATAACTAAATAATTTGTGACAGAAACCACTGAAAAGAATTAAAAAATTTTTTACATGTAATAATCAAAATAATTTGACAGTATTTAGAAGTAGCATCTGTTCCTGTGATACCCATTACTGATCCTTTCCTTAAACAGGTCAAACCTCTTAACTGTGTCATAAAGAAATGAACATCATGAAAACTGTGATATCTATGTTATTTTGCCAAACCAGAGGCCAGCAAATTTCTACAGTAACTGTAAAAAGAACATAATTTGGATTTATCAAGCGCGAGTTGATAATGTAAATTGGCCTCCATAAAGAGTTTCTAAAGCTGACAGGACAGTCTACATGTCATGCTCATAATTGGACTGCAGTGAAATAAGATAGTTAAAGGTGCCTGCACAGTTGTCTAGCATTTTTCACAGAGTTAACTGTTGATTTTTTTAAAATGAAAACATGTAATTTATGTGTAGTTTCTTTCTCAAATTTTGTCATAGTTTTGATTAAATTGTAACAGGACTTCATGTCATCCAATTCTGTCTTAATCATACTCATGATTACCAAATTAAACTCCCACTTTGTGGTCGTCTGATTTTGTTGACCACTCATATGATTACAGACCAAATTGGACTCCACTTGGTCCTATTACCATTATTACTGGTAATCAGAAATTTAACCCGATATTCCTCTGTAATACATACTACCAAAAGTAGAAAGCATTTCAAAATCTTTTTTCAAGACAATAATCAAGCTCAACCTTCGAAGTCAAATTCCAGCCCAGTCCCTGTCAGCTTGTTCATAACCTCATTTTCAAACATCTTGTTCTGTTCTGGGGTGAAGTAATTTGTCCAGTCACCAATCCTTCCTTTGCGTTACAGTTTTGGCCCCTGAGCTATGCCCTCCAACCAGTAATTTGACATGTTCTTCATTCCTTTAAAGCTGCACTGTTCAGGAATTTCGTGATATTGAGAAGGAGAATTTATTTAACAATCAAAAGCTACTGTAGTGGGTGAATATTTTCATTATTCTCATAACCTTGATAGGATAGGATAGGATAGGATAGGAAAGGAAAAAA